TTCTGAATGAGTCTCAGTGGAGCCCTTTGTAGAGTCTGGTTCTTACTCGGTGGGGTGTATCACCAAGAGCATGTTTTCTGAAGTACTCACTAGTCCCGAAAAGAAAAAGTCAGCAAATATGAATAGATTAGCAGTTTCGGGATTTTTCAGTCTGTTAAAAACCTGTTGATCGGGTTGGGGATTTAGCTCAGTGGTAGAGCACTTGCCTAGCAAGCGCAAGGCCCTGGGTTCGGTCCTCAGCTCCAGGGGAACGATGACAAAAAACCTGTTGATCAAGTGAAGCTTTTCTTACAAAGAATATATGTGCCATTACATGGGAATATTTCCTTAATCATTTTGAGAATCCTTTGCTATTTTGCCAACATTTCAGCATTTTTAGGATTGTTTTGCTACATGATATATATACTGAATGCACACAATGTATCTATCTCTTGAGAGTGCTTTTTAATGTAACTTGGTGGAGTGGATTTTTTTTTGTTTTGTGTTGGTTTGGGTTTTGTTGTGTTGGGGGTGTTCTCTCTCTCTCTCTTTTTTTTTTTTTTTTTTAAGATTTATTTATTTATTATGTATACAGCATATGTGACTACAGGCCAGAAGAGGGCACCAGATCTCATTACAGGTGGTTGTGAGCCACCATGTGGTTGCTGGGAATTGAACTCAGGACCTCTGGAAGAGCAGTCAGTGCTCTTAACCTCTGAGCCATCTCTCCAGCCCCCATCTTTTTTTTTTTTTTTTTTTTTTTTTTCTTCTTCTTCAAGACAGCATTTCTTTGTGTAGCTTTGGAGCCTGTCCTGGAACTGGATCTGCAGACCAGGCTGGCCTTGAACTCACAGAGATCTGCCTGCCTCTGCCTCCCAAGTGCTGGGATTAAAGGCAGGGTGTGGGGGTCTCTGTGTAATCGCCCTGACTGTCCTGGAACTAGCTGTGTAGTAGAGCAGGCTGGCCTCCAACTCATGGAGGTCCTCCTGCCTCTGCCTCCTGGATGCTGGGATTAAAGGTGTGCACCACCACCTCCTGGCCAGGTGGAGTGTTCCTTGGGAATAGTTTTGGTGGTTAGTTTCCACTTTGTCTTCAAGTAAGCATTTTAGAGAATACAGCGTTTGTGTCTAGTGTGGTATGTAGGTGGCTGAGACTAAGAACAGGCAGCTCGCTACACCGTCTGGGCCGTTAATCTGTGCTGGGCGAACCTTAAGGGTCGTCAAGTGCCTGTTAAGTTTACAAACATCTAAAAGTTTTAGTTGGGGTTTTGTTACTGTTTTTAATGATTGTTTTTTAATATGGATTTTCTTTGATACTTAGCCACTTCTTTTAATTCACTTTAGGCTCCCTTGAGTGTTTCAAGAGTTCAACATAATCTACCTGTGTTGTTCATTCATATCAGCTCAGGGCCTGTGAAGCACACCTTCATTTTCAAGGTCTGCCTGTCATCTGGTATTCCAGAGTGAGCATTTGCTAATCGGTTAAAAATTCAGGGAACTAGAGACAGCTAGAGTGGCCTTCACTGGCAGCTGCCTAGGTGGTGTATGTGTCTTATCTATGGTTCAGTTCTTCATTGGAGCTGGTTTGGTTGTGGGCCAGCGGCTGGGTTTAGTTATGTTAAACTCCTGGAGTTAAATGAGTGTGCCTGAATTAGCCTCTGGGTACCGCAAGGTAGGAGCTGTGCCCTTGGTTGACCCTGAGGAGCTAGTCTACACCTCAGTGTGCTTTGCTTTTTTCTCCTCTGAGACCCTCTAAGTTCCTGAGGTTTGTGTCCTGCACCTGCTGCCTCTGCTTTCGAAACCGTCCCTAAACTTTTCCTTTTCTTCCCTTTTATTTGGAAGTTAGTTCATGTAGACTGCTGCAGAAGTCTTCAAACAAGTGTTCCCCAACCCCCAGCCTGAGCTTCCCACTCTCCTTAAAAAAAGGAAGTTCAGGGTCACATGTGGTGACCCCTTTAATCCCAGTACTTGGGAGGCAGAGGCAAGTGGATCTGTGAGTTCAAGGCTGGTCTGGTCTACCTAGCGAGTTCCAGGGCAGCTAGGGCTGTGTAGAGACCCTGTTTCAAAAAGAGAAGCTCCACTCCTGGTGTCACCTCCTGCCCTTGAGCCGGCCCTGTGCTATCTTGTCACTGTTCCACTGCTGGCCCTTCTATGTCTTCTGCCCAGCAGGTTTCAGCACAGTCTTAAGAGTTTGTGTGGGCTGTCTGTCTTCTGGGAAGTTGTTCCAGTGCCTCCGTTAGTGTCTCTTAGATCTCATGCTCTGTAGTAGCTTTTCCTGGTGTTCCTGGGGTCATCTTACGATTGTTTGCCTTGGTCGGCTGAGCACCTGCTTGGTGCTTGCCTGGGGTAGGTGGGTTTTGTTTTGTATTTGACACAGGGTCTCCCTATGTACCCCTGTCTGGTCTTAACCTGAACCTTGATATGTAGACCAGGCTGGCTACAAATTCTGAGATCCACCTGTTCTGTCTGCCTCTCAAATGCTGGAACTAAAGGTGTGGACTACCGTACCTGCCTCCCTCCACCTTCTGAGTGCTGAGATTTCAGGCATGTGTCACCACACCATCACAGGTGTGAGTGTGTGAAGTATTTAATAGTAGAGACTTTATGCTTTTGCCCCTTTTTCTACAGGACAAATTGATGGCCAAGAGATCACTGCAACTGCTGTGTTGGCACCCTGGCCTCGGCCACCCCCACGGCGATTTAGCCCACCCAGGAGGATGCTTCCACCGCCACCCATGTGGCGCAGGTCACCCCCACGGATGAGAAGGAGGTGAATTCATTTGGAATTGTCCTTGGCCCATCTGGCTTATGTGATTTATAAACCTAAATGGCTGTGATGACTTTGGGGTCCTTGAATGTTGCCCATTCCTTTGGGGTTGAATGCAGAAAGTAGGTCAGCAAGTAGCCCTTGGAAAGAACGTCAAAATATGTGTTGTTGACAAGCAGTGAGACCCTTTAAGGAACCACCTCTGGAGTCTGAGCTAGCATGGGTCCCATGAAACCAGATGTCAGCTCTCTGCCCTTGGTAAGGGTCCTGCTGGGCATGGTGGCACATTCCTTTAATCCCAGCTCTCAGGAGGTAGAAGCAGGGGTATCTCTGAGTTCAAGGACAGCCTGGTCTACACAGAGAAACTCTGGAAAAATCAAAAAGAAAAAGACAACAGGAGGGGTTAAGAGAGGAGCTTTTAAGTTCGGATATAGCAGAGGCCACAGCTCATAGGTCGTAAACACATTTAGAATTATCTAGAAAAGGTCGGTTTGCCCCACAGCTGTGCTGCTCGGAGCCTTTGCTTTTAGCTGACTTGGTTTCTCTTCCTGCAGGTCTCGCTCCCCAAGGCGCAGGTCTCCTGTGCGTAGGAGGTCTCGATCTCCTGGCCGCCGCCGCCACAGGAGCCGCTCCAGCTCCAACTCCTCCCGATAAGCAGGGACCTTGATCGTACCTCTGTAACTTATGTTTCCCCGACTCAGTTTTGTCCTTTCTCTAGCCAAATGAGGGTCTGTAGGGAAGGATCCCATACCAGGTGGGCTTTGAAGACAGCAGTGGAGATATTTCCTCTGCGGGAGGATTCTGGCTGCAGAGGTACTGTTGATTCGGAACTGTGCCCATTGAGGTACCCTGTAGTTTTCTGGCTAGAAAGTTCACCCTTCCAGTTCTTGAATCTGCTTGGTAGCAGAGCCACCTGGGACAAGCACGCCTTCAAAGGGCAGCACACCGTTTTCCACAGGTGACCCGGGACCAGTCAGACAGCCTGGCCGTGCCCTTGCCGCGTCCTCTTCGGAGTCCTCTTCAACTTGTAGGGTTCAACACCTTTCCTTTTCCTGTCCCCGTGTCTCTGTTATCTGAAATTGGTGAGCCAGTTAGGGCTACAGGGTCCTCATGGAACCTACCGCCACCCTCGTTATAGCCTGCCATTCATGGTGATGTTGCAGGTTAACCTTGGCAATGTATACATTGCTTCTTTTTGCTTTTATTGTACAGTCAGTACTATAAACTTTGTTTTGAGTTTTATAACTTTGTAGCGTTTTAGATGAGGTTGTGTTTGTACTGTGTAGCGTGAAAGGACTATTGAATAAACCTAGGATTAGAATGCACATTGATGGCTGGTGTCACTGCCTCTTTCTTCTTAGTCCAGAATAGTCGAGATTTGTGGTGTCGGCCCAACTAAGAACTCGTGTTAGGTTCAATTCCCAAAGTGGCATTTCTAAAAGCTCTCGGCCAGGGGACTCAGTGAGATTGCTGCTGCTACGTTGGGAAGATATGGGGATCATTTTCTTTTCTGTCTTGTACTGGTCTGAGTTGGTGGTGTGGCCCAGGTTCTGAGTCTATTCTCACACAACAAAAAAGACTGCCAGGAGACTTAAATGGAGAGTAAACATCGAGGTCGCCTCACTGCAGTGCACACGCCACACAGCTGGCTGCTTTTATCTGTGGCCTTTCGGTATTGACACAAATAAAAATGAACTCTTGAGAGGTTGGAGAGATGGCTCAGAGGTTAAGAAGACTGGCTGCTCGTCCAGAGGCCCTGAGTTCAATTCCCAGCAACCACATTGTGGCTCAAACCATCTAGAATGAGATCTGGTGCCCTCTTCTGGCGTGCAGGCATACATGCAGACAGAACACTGTATAATAATAAATCTTTTCTAAAAAAATACAACACTTTTGAGGGTATGTTTTAACCCCGGGTAACAGCCTTCCGGGCTTGCCCCTGTGTTGCAAGACAAATCTGTTCACCACCCTGCAGCCATTCTGCCAGCCATGATTTAAATTCCTAATCCCAGCTCTGGTATGCGCTTCTGCACTGCGCCAGTGAGATCTAGCAGCCTCCCCTCCAGCGGGCAGCTGGCGAGAACCCTTGGTGAATGCCCTCGAACCTCAGCGACACCATCCTCCCCCGTGCCCCGCCCCGCCCCTGACACCAGCTTATTCATTACCTAGTGCTGCCAGCTGCGGTGAGCCTGGGTGGGTGTGGGCTCGGGAGGCCGCGCCCAGTCCGCGGGAGGCTGCAGAATGGCTGGCTGCCCGGTGACCTGGGGGTGACGGGGCGGGCCCGAGAGGAGGAGTCTGCAACGCCGGGCTGCTGGTTACGCCGCTCCGTGGGTCCAGATCCTGTGACGGCCAAGATGGCGCTGGCCGCCGCCAGTCGCGTTCTGCTGCACGCGGGTGCGTGTCAGGGCGCGGGGGCTGGTGCACGGCCACAGAGAGGGCTGGGTTCGCGGGCGGGGGTGGCGAGAGTCCGGCGGGCTTGCTAACGGTGCTCCCGGCTGTCCGCAGGATCCCGCCTCGGGCGCAGGGAGGCCGTGGACGGCGCGCGGCGCTTCGCCAACAAGCGGGTGGTGGTGGAGCCGGAGGCGGCGGCAGGTGAGCTAGTGCAAGGCCCGGCACGGGAATACTGTCCTCCAGAGCCGAGGCACAAGTGCCGTGGGAAGTCAGGCCAGGCGGGCACGGGAATAGTGTCCCCCAGAGCCGAGGCACAAGTGCCGTGGGAAGTCAGGCGGGCACGGGAATAGTGTCCCCCAGAGCCGAGG